TTGTGAGAAAGTACCTCAACTTCACTTACCTCACCATTTCCTCCAGACTGTCTGCCTGAGATCTGAGACTCACCACAAACCTGTATCTATATTTTTTACTTGCATTATTCAAGCATAAAACTTATTGTCAAACTAGAGGTTTTATAGGAAATTCAGTTGAAATGGAAGACTGAGGCCTGCCTTTAGCACAAATTAACAGATTCAAATTTGAATAAAGAGACTCCATGGAGTCATAGCAAATATTATGTTTTTCCAAATAAATACTGCAGAATTGTTCAAGGTTGCGGTGTTATCTCAGGGTAACAGAAAAAAAAGGATAACAAAGATTACAGTCACAGATAACAGACACTTGATCAGATTCCTGCCTCGCAATTGCTTATCAATTATTTTCTGTATCAATCATCTTTATCCATTGATCAGGATACTTCCCAGGAATGAGTCAGGTATCCATATTCTACACATGAATCATCCATGCTTCTTAGCCAGATTATTGCCCAGTAATCAGTTCCAGGTATCCATGCTTGCAAGTGCGCAAACAAGTTACAAAACCCATTCTTCTGGCTATTTGTTATTAAAGAGGTTTGATGTTTCCAACTTTCCTACATAATTTCAAAAATTCCTTTTAAAAACACATGATTTAGCTAGCGAATCATAGAACACAACCTACAATGGTTTAACAATAGCTAGTGTGATACTGAGTAATAAAACATAGCACCAATTTGAAAGAATCTGCATTGCATTCCACATTTATTTGCAATTACTAATGTTTTCCCAATTAGACTTTGAAAAAAAATTCAATCCATGCAATGTGCTATTCAGTACTGGGCTATTGCAAAGTACTTGGATAATGGGACAAAATGTCCCTCTTGATGGTCGCTGTCAACGGCATGACAAAACATATTGACTTATAGCTGTCTTTTACATGGTAATTCATAAAAAATGGATCTATATAAGGTCCGTTCAGATAAATATCATAAGGTCAGGAAATCAAATACTAGTGCGAACATAGTGTTAACACACACAAACATTGCAGAATATACTCTGTTATCAAACTGTTTGCACAACATTACTATTATATAAAAGGCCCACTACTTTTTGCGCTCAAATCAAACTGCCTGCTTTGTGGTCTAACTGGCTGATATTCATAGTTACTGAATAAATCAAACATGCACCAATGAAATGGAATATAAAGATAGGCAGACAGAACTAGTGGAAACAAAGAAAGTAAAAATCTGAGGAGAAGAGGAGAACTTCTTCTATGGAATCGATTCACCTTCATAATCCCTTTTTTAAAAATACACACTTAAAAATAATGATTCACTTTAATTCTTCATTGCAAGTCCTCACAGTCAGCAGGGAAATGGCCCTTACTATTAGCCATGAACGGCACAATAGGAAGTAAGAGAATTTATCTCCCTTTAAAGTCCTAGGTACTAATTGGGAGGCTTCATTACAGTAATTCAGCTAGTACAGCTTTGACATTTTCCAGGTCAGCTACCTGCTGATTGCTGTCCTATACTATAAAAATACTGATCTCTATTTTTCTCAGTAAAGATTTGTTCCCCTCTTGCTGAGGTAATGACAAGAGGGGAACAAATCTTACCAGGAGATCAGGATAAATGTCTACCAACACGATTGTGTTTACTCACATGCATACGTATGAATTATACAAAAGAGTACTTTAAAAAGAACGTGAGGTGTTGAAATGATACGTTTTGCACCGAGATGTCAAAGACTTCCCCTTTAATTATTATTATTTTAATTATTATTATTATAATATTATCATTATTATTATTTAATGGGGAGATATCTTGAGTGTGCCAGTTTCTAAGATGTATAGAGAAGTATGGATAAGGATGAAATTGGCTCAGATGCATTGCCTAGTATTAAGGTTCCTACATGCTATAACCAAATTCACTGTCATGTTTTCCTACAAAAACAAACATCACATTTGACAAAATTATTGTAAAGCACTTTGAAATGTTTTGACATATATCTTATTGAAGAATGACACCTCCAACATTGCAGCACATCCCAGCATTGCATTGGAGCATCAGCTTAGAATATACGAGTTCAAAGTGCAACATGGGTCTTGAATCCATAGCCTTCAAACTCAAGAGACAAGAGTGCTACCACTGCGCCAGGCTGCCATCTGATGGGTGGGTGGGTATGCTGAAAGGTTCAGACCAATCTGGCTGAAGGGCCTTCATCATCTGAACCAATCTTGTGATTACTTGGAGTATATGGCTCTCCCTCGCACTTCTCCCTACAACGTATTGAATTGACATTCCTTTTTATCTACTCCCTGAAAACTCCAACAAAGAACTATCAAGTGTTTAATAAAGTAAGTAAATCTCTTTTCGCGCTCTGCAGTTATCCATTCATATATTTTATAGTTTTAATTCCAGTTTAATTGTAATAAATACACAAATATAAAGGTTGATGAAGCACTCAAACACATAAACACTGATAAAAGTACCCACAACATAAAATGTGATTTATGCAGGATAATCTATGTTATATGGATGAATATGGCCCAGATACACTGCCCAATACTAAGGTTCCTCCCAGCGCCTTGGAATGTCCTCTTGACGTGAAGGGCACTTTATACATGTAATTTTGTTATCTTTTTATAATAATAATAATAATCCTTGCATTTGATATAGCGCCTTATCACGTCTTCGAGACGTCTCAAAGGCTTCACAGGATAAACTGCAAAGTGAAATGACTGTATATTTTGTGGTGAAACACGTCAGCCAATTGCGCAAGGCAGTGTCCCACAAATGTCACTCCCTTATCATCAGTCCTGCACAATTGAGAAGTACAGAAGGTAATTGTTGTTGCTATAACCAAATTCACCGCCATGTTCTCCCACAGAAACAGTATTCTCTTCTCAAGTTCTTTTCTCCTCTCAAGTTCTCTCACGTTCTTGGCTCCCAGGAAATCTTGGAGCTAAAGTCTCAGCAGTGGAAATGACATGCAAGGGTTTCTATGCTGACGCTCCAGTGTAATGCTGTGGTGTGATGAATTGTTGGAGGTGCCGTCCTTTGATCAGACATTAAATCAAGATCCTTCTGCCCTTTCAGGTGGATGTTAAAGATCCCATGGCACTTCTCAAACTTATAATGCAGGCATTTTTTTCTGCATTTATGTGGCAGTTACACTGGTTCAGCACTTTTTTTAAATCCCATAATGGAATGATTATCACTTTCAAATACCAGGTCTAAAAAGCAAGATTGGTAAAAAGGATTTATAAATAGTAAATTCAAGGCCTCAACCACTTTTCAGTGAACCCCTTGCTGCTGTTGATTGATCACCCTCTGTGAAAATAAATACTTTTTGGTATTTGTCCTAAAACTGTAATTTTATGGAACCTTATTAAAAAGACAATCACACTGATTACAGTCCAGCAGTACCCCCAATGCCTTTGCTCTGCTAACTTACGCTAATATTTTCCAGAATTAGATGGCAGCAGAGCCAACCTGGCTCATTGACAGGACCTGGAAAGGTAGACCAGTCACTTGGGGCAGGGATTCATCCCACTCAACTCCTGTTAATCCTGCAAGCCAAAGCCATGTTAGGTAAGGTTAGCTAACTGGACAAGCAGCAGGAAAGCTTGCCAGACAGCAATATGAATGGCAAGCTATGCGGTTTTAGTTGGCTAAACTTCAGCTGTACCCCTCTACAGTCTGCAAGCCTTGGCTCTTGCCAACCTGCGCCTAATACTTCCCAGAATTAAGTAAGCAAGATGCGTCCTTCCAGGAAGAGTGCACATTCCATTCAAATAATTTATTTCTGGAATTTCCATATGCTGGTGGAGTGCATGGAATTCTCAGTTTGGTTTGGATACTCTTAAGCATGGTGATGGGTTTCCGTGTGTGCCAGACATGAAACACCCGGCTGACCAAAAAAAAATCTACAAACAGTACTAAGTATATAATAGTGACTCAGGTTTTCAAACAAACAATTCATATGTACAAGGTTAATAAAGATAAGGACTTCAAACTTTGATCATAAATGCATGACTGATCTCTCCCCTAAACTGAGGTCACCATTCATGGATAGTCATGACATTGTGTAGACTTTCTCTCTCTTTCTGTCAGATCTAATTCACCCTGCAAAGCCTCTGACAAAGAGTCAATTACTTACTGTCCGAAATAACGTATATGTTCTCTCTGCAAGAGACATACATGACTGAAGGTGTAAAACTTGTGCTATAAAAGCTCCAGATACCTTCTCTCATGGTATTATGTAGCACTTGCAATTTATTTTGGCAAAGTGTTTCCTTAACTTTAAAAAAAAGCATTACTCAGATGTTTGCTGTTTTCAGTTAAATTTGGTTGTACAGAGCAAAAGATGCAACATATGGTCCTTGATTTTGTTTTACAGCCAGACCCTTAAACATTGGGCTGTAACTTTGAGCAAGTATTGGATTTGCTTTCAAGTGGTGCAAACTCAGTCAGTTAAAATTGTCAAAGAGCCACTTTGAGAGAATCAGCAGACAATGCCGTGATTAAAATGTATCTGAGCTGTATTGTGGCACCAAGATAAAGTCAGACAATCCCATTGAAAGTGTACTTCTGCACATTTTCAGCTATACCTTACATCGTATCTTAAGAACAATTCATATTGCAATTAATAACTGACGCAACAGTCTACAAAATTCAATTAATCTCTTAAAATTAATTTTAAAAACTGCTGTCAACACAAATGAAACATCTGCTAAGATAATGAGTGAACATTAAATAAAGAATTACAGGGTTCAAATCTTTTTTGCAAATCTGTGTAACATTTCACCTTGGCAACTTTTTGAAGTGTAAGCATCTAGAGTTAGTGCCATATTTCAACAGAATAAATTTTCTAAGAAGTTTTCTTCTGTGGTTCTCTAATTGCAATGTGAATTGGTCTGCACCAAAGAATTATACCACAAATCCTATAATGGTCATGTGAGCATGTGCAGTAATCTTCAAATTATTTTAACAATAAAATAATATACGTACATTCATCTGAAGTAATTTTAATTTCCCACCAAATTGGAGTTTGACAGTGTTGATAAGAAGCCACACATAAGTACATTCCTGTGTAATTTTTCTTCATGGGTCCTTTGAATTTGAGTTGATTTTCCATTAGTTCAGTGCCTCTTGGAAGTGTGTCATTTTCCCTTTTAAAATAATAAATAATAATTACAGTACATCAATTATAATTGTTCAATAAACACATTCTTCAGAAAACTTGGAATACGATTTCAAAAACATTCACTTAGAATTTGACTAGGTCTAGTTTCCCAGAAAATGGATAAAATAATTAGTAATCATTGAAAATCATATTGTTGAATACAACCACTCGATAAAAAGTATACTGTCTTGCAGTCTGTCAATATAGTTTAATATTAAATGACCACAGCTCAAATTAACATTGTTGGATTTAGCTTTCAATTCGAAACAAAACTGAATCATAATATTTTGATTCGGGTGTCAAAGCTTCACCAGAAACTTTCTCACAAAATACATACAAAGAAAATTACCCTCAATCTGGAGCTAGAAAATGCTTCTATCATCCTCAATTGCATCCATAATACAGAAGAAAAAACAATGGCCAATTTCAGTGTGGTAGCAATATCGCTGTACTGTAGTTACTGAACATTGACTACATGTGACCTAAATGTCAACAAATTTGAAGGTGTCCCTGGGAAATAAGTTTAAAGTATGTAAGCATTTTAAAGTGAACTGATTTTCTTTGGCTGCTATTATAGTTAGTTGTTTTTCTTACTCCAAATACCCCAACAACCTTAAGAGTGATTAGCTTTTTACAGGTCAGTTTTGTTCAGTACCAATTGTATAATTGACCCTTCACCAATTAGAAAAGAGTTGATATTAATGGAGAAGGACAAGGACAACATCAACTTGCTCTACATCTCACTTTATTACTCTTTCACACACATGCACATAATAATCCTTACAAATGGAAAAGTACCCTTCACATTTGGAGGACATCCCAGAGCGCTTAACTGTATATAATGTAAAATGTAGTGACTATGTGTTTCGTAGACAAACACAGTAGCCAATTTACCTACAGCAATATCCCACAAACAGCCTTGAAGTGAGTGACCAATTTTATCAGGGATTGTTTTACAGGCTACCTAGAGAAGCTCCCTTCTATTTTTGTATTGTGCCGTGGGATCTTTAATGTCTACCTAAAACAGGGCCATGGTTTAGACTTTTCCAAAGGGCAACACCTCCAACAACGCAGCACACCCTCAACACTGTATTGAAGTTTATGGCAAGGTTGTAAATATTAACCCTAACAATGGCAGCAGCTCCAGGAAATTCCTGCCACTTTCTGGCATTTTTGGATGAGTTTTTTCACCTTAAGTTTAACTTTTTTCTGCAAATGTAATTGTTAGCATATTTTCTAACCTCTTTGCCATGAATGTTTACGTTCAAGTTGTTTAACTTGCCTGTTTTTATTTTCCATGGCCCCAACATCTATTTTGGAGGTGAGAGCAATTTTACAAATACCTGCACTGGGTTTCACTGGCTAGAAATGACTTTGAAGGCCATTTGGTTACCCAATGAACTCCCAGACTTGGAAGATTGATATGGTCACAATCTAAATATAGCTATGTCTATACATCTTGATGTCTGCAACAGAACCACATAACTCAATTTTTGCCTCCCTCTCTCTTCTATGTCCACAGCCAATGCTACACATTATCTGCTTAGCTCTGGCATCTAAAGAGCCATCTAAACATTCCTATCTTTGTAAAAGCTATTAATTTCCTCCACCAGCACTGAGAATAACTCATCCTACTGCTAGAATATTAATGGTGAGTAGCATTTCAGCAATTGAGAAATCCAAATAAGGCAGAATCTAACATGGATTTTGAGCAGATCCTGAAAAGGTTGAGGTGCTTATGAATGGAGGACAGTTGAGATAAAGGCCGAGACCAGACCAGAAGCATGCACACACATGCTGAACTCAGGCAGCCATGTGTACATATCAAAATGTTTGACTTAATCAGCAATGCCTCATGTTTAAAAATGATAGTAACCTATGAAAAAGATTCCTGCCTGTTAATATTCCGTAATATCGCATGTGAACTTTGTGCTTTAATCTTTCTAGATTGTACACACTCTAGCATTTAACAATAATGAGCTTGATCCCCGGCTACATTTTGATTCATATAGCAGGCTTAATGACTTTCTTGATAATATTGATAACTTGGTGAAATGTCAAGGGCAGTTTGCTGGTTCCAGGCTAACTGCCGATTTTATTGTACCTTTGGTTATTATCTTTTAAGTGCGTTTTATGCTCTGGAAATCATTTCTGGGAAGTGAATGTAACTATTTATCAGCCTCAAGCACTTTGAGGTATGGTATGAATAGTCCCCAAATAGTTTTGCACAATAAGACTGCATTACGTTATTGACCTCAGATTTTGGTAAAGTTCTACTCTATTTTGTCTCAGATGAGCATCACATCTCTCTCTCTCTCTCTCTCTCACACACACATAATAATCTGTACAGCGTTGAAATAGGTAATTTGGCCCAATTTGTCTATTGGCAATCTTTACACTTTACACTCCAGCAATCCTAATCCCCTCTCCCAATCCCCCTCCATATCCCTCGATTCCCTTTCTCCCTCATGTATTTCAGGCCTTTAATGCCAATTTCTACACAGCTTTGTGGAACAAGCCTGGTTTCACTGGGAATGGGCTAAAAATGCTCACTTTATTTTCTTGTTTGATCCTCATAACCACTAATCAACCTCAGCTTTCTTTTAACACAAAACCTTGAGGTAAACGGATCATGGTAATCCAATGTGTCACCCTGTCCTCCTTAGCTATTATTTCTGTCAAAATTGGGCATTTGTTTGATATCAGAAGGGGTTAATTGAGTTTAGCAGGACTGTAAAAATGATTGATTACTAGAGTGAGAATTACAGAAATGTTTTGCAGCAAAAATGAAAATTAAGCAACATCATGATGTTAATTGGAAGTGTTAATAATTGTTAACCCAAAATCCACCTCTAAGATGATGAAAATCAGATTGTCATGTACAACCAAATAATACAATTACTATAATATTTACATTTACATTAGCACCTTTCACATCAGGAAGGTATTTTAAAGCACTGAACACAGTTGACTGGGCACCCAAGACAACAGGCGGTAGGGGGAGAAGGGAAAGATGATTGAAAGTGTGGTCAAAGAGGTAAGTCTTGAGACGAGCTTTGCAAGTGAGGAGAGAAGGGATGAGTTGGAGAAATTGAAGGATAAAGTTCCCGAAGGCAAGGGCAGAGTGGGTGAAAGTTCACTCACCAAATGTGGGTCAGATAGAGTGGGGAGCGTGGAGCAGATCGATGCTCCCTGAGCGAAAGGAGCAATTTTATTTGGTAGGGTTGCAGGAGGTTGCATGAGTAACGTGGGGCAAGGCTACAGAGGAATTTGAAGGTGAATATGTGGATCTGTGGCAGCGTGGCTCGCCTCTGAGTCAGAAGGTTGTGGGTTCAAGCCACATCAAGAATTAAGCTGATACTCCAATGCAGTCATGGAGGTATGCTGCATTTTCTGAGGTGCCATCCTTCAGAAAAGACGTTAAACCAAGGTCCCTTCTGCCTGTTTAAGGTTGATATTAAAGATCCCATGGCACTATTCAAAAAGAGAAGGGAGTTTCTTCTGGTGTCCTGATCAACAATCCCCCAAATAAAATTGGTTACTCACTCCATGGCTGTTCGTGGGTTATTGTTGTATGCAAACTAGCTGCCACGTTTCACTACAAAAAATACAGTCAAACTCCTTTGTAGTGTATCCTGTGAAGCGCTTTGAGAATCTCAGTGATGTGATAAGGCACTATATCAAATGCAAGGAATATTTATTATTATATCTTGAATTTGATGCCTTAAGGGATGGGAGCTAGCGAAACTGAGGAAGAAACATCTCTGTCAAAGGACTACAGAACTTTGTCTTACTTTAAACAGCGTAAGTTTATCTTGTTCACAGAACCAGTTATAATGAATGTAATGTTTTTCATATCTTCATTGTCTTTGAAGGAAATGGTACAGTTATTCCTTTCCATCCTCTTAACTTTCTTTGCATTGTGGGGGCAGCCTTGAATTCTAATGTTGAAGGGACCTGTAAAGGCAAAAGTGTGTTTGTTAGTCAGTGCTTTCAACAGGTGTTGATAAACAATCCACAAAGTACATGTGTGGTGTTGTGGTTGGTGATGGTGCTTATGGAGAAATAACCACTACTTGCAAAAATGTCTGCAAAGTTTTGATATGAATCAAATCAGCTTTTGAGTCTATTCATCTTAAAATCTGGACAATCCCATTATTTCTTGAACTGTTGTAATGCTGTTTTTTGGTTACGCACTGAAAGTCAAAGCCAATAATTTGACATTGATTAAATTGTGAGTAGAAAGTAATTAAGCTGGTCAGGACAATGTTTTTCTACATCTGAAGCTTTTCACATGGGGGATCCCGTCAGGAGAATGTTACATGTAAGCTGTAGATTCACCGAGTTCCGCACTTGAAATGAAGAGTTTTATGTCAGGTCACATATAAAGGTTGCCTGGTAGGTTGACAGGTCAGATTGGGTTTCCCCAGCAGATGGTCAAGTCGGGTTTGGGGTTCCTGCACAACAAACGGGAGATTCACTGACAAATCTCCAGAGTTCAGTTTGAGAATGACTTTTACTTTGATGGTTGTTGTCATTATCTCCTGAGGCCAGAAGAAGGAGGAATGGAAGGCTTGGTTCATGCTGGAGGGAGTCTACACGCTCTGATTAAACTCCCAGGAACACATTGAGGAACAGTTAGCAGAGGTTGAGGTTCTCCTTTGGGACTTTTTTCTTCGGGGTGGGGGAGAGGTGCCAATCTCCGTTTGGCTATGAATAATGTAACAGTTCTGAATTTTGTTTCTAACAAGCTTTTGTCAGTATCCCAATTGGGACTTAGTGGCCACTAGCCAATATTCCATTTGTTAAATTAAGGTATTTTCTAAGAGCCTCATCTTGACTAATGCAGAGCAATCCTATGCTTTCCAGGGATTCCCAGGAGTATTGGAGATAGTAAATTGCCCTTTGTGAGTTTAGGTAAATCAGACAAATAAGAGAGTAAAAGTAACAAGAACACTTTCTCAATGTCCAGTTAATATGGTATACTCCCCATGAGATCAAACATGTAAGCACACATTTTCAAGGGAAACACAAACTCTAAGCATTACTGAATTTATCATGTTGCAACTCTGCTTTAATATACTTCAGATGATTGTTAACTTTTGTAGACTTTGATGCAATGGCAGACATTGTTTTTTTAAATTTATTAACATCTCTATTTTCTCACCGTAAGCATTACAGGGCTTCGTGTCTGCTGCATCCTAATATTTATCCTGGATAATACTTAACAGCTTAAAAATCGCCAAATTCACAGAAGACACTGCTAAAGGGATCATTTTATTCATCTAAGAGAAGATGTAAACTTGCTATTCCATTGGATAGCTCTTGCACATTGCTAGGGCTCATCTCACACTCCATCTGATTTAGCATACAGTGAATGTGGCTCAGCACCAATTCTAATAGATAAAAAAACTATAATGTACATCTCTAATGTAAAAGATTAAGTCACAGTACATCTGAACCCCATGAAACCGTTCCTCAGCTACCAGCCTCCACAGTGCAACTCTGATACCATGTTAAAAATGACCTTACCTGCATGACCACAAGCATGACCTTGCTCCACGACCCTGCTGTTGGACACCTAGATGTCCTTGTTATTTGTATAACGTCCTTTAACCACGCACAACTGTATTGAAATAACTCAACTCAATGCTTAACTGCAAATCTTTGAAAACCATTGTGTGACAGAATTGTACCATAACGAAACAATACATACCTACAGAATTCAGATAAAAAAGATTAATTGCAGTACTTATGTTTTATATCAGTTCTGCTGGGTTTATGTTGTCTTTGCACCAGAATCTGCAGCATGAATCCAATTTTGTGGAATATACATGATATATTACATGCCATCAAGTAGCGGTAGCGCATGATATCTATAGCAGTATCAATAACTTCCATGAGGTGCCACCATCATAGCATTAAGAAAATATTAAGACTATACTATCCATTCCCCTATTATAAGTACTTGAAAATAGCTAGCAAGTGTAAGAAGTTTTATACTCGTGCACACTTCTAGGCTCCAGTGGATAAACAGTTCCCATTTTTTTCTGTGACATTTTCAAAATATTAATTTTCAGATTAATCTCTTCGGCCATAAAGGAAATCACCTCTTTAACACTCCTATTTTGTGAAGAACATTTATCTCTGGTGCGCTGATGCAAATTACCAAAAAATGTAAATGAATTTGTAAATATTAATTCAGCAGTGTAAAACTCGGCTTGACATTACCAAATAGAATATTTTTTGGTTCAAGGTTCAGAGTATTAGAATTCAGATCAAGATTTTTAGTAATAGAATATAATAATATCTTGGATTTAATACGTCAATTATATTATCGTAGGGCCTTTTTGATGTTTGGTCATTTTATGCGGTCGACCATGGCACAGACACAAATCGTTTTCCTATGTACAATAATAATAATAATAATAATAATCCTTGCATTTGATATAGCGCTTTTCACATCGGGAGGACGTCCCAAAGCGCTTCACAGAACACACTGTAAAGTGAATTGACTGTATATTTGTGGGCGAACGCGGCAGCCAATTGCGCACAGCAATGTCCCACAAACAGTCATGGATTGAAAATGACCAATTTATTATTGTTTTTGGTTTGGAGGGATTATTATTAGGCGTGTGGAGTAAGGAAACTTGCCCAAGGTTTCGCCCTGCCTGGAATTGAACTCAGGTCTCTCGATTGCAAAGCAAGTGCTCTGAGCTACAGGACTCCACAATATTAACTACAAAACGTCAGTCACAGTAGGAAGTATACTATGACATTTTTAACTTGGAAACTGTGGCAATGCATTAACTTTTAATTTACAAAGGTAAGCTATGTGGGAAAAGTACTCTTATATTCTTATTTTAGGACTTCCTTTAATACTGGTTGCATTATTGGATCTGTAGTGTATTGTTTCATTCATATACAAACAGTTACAACAAGATATTAAAGATATTCCCTTCAGATTCATTGTCACAATAATAATAATTATTCTTTCATTTGATACTACAACTTATCATTTCATCAAAACATCATAGGATATGACATTGAAACCACAACCATCAGATTCAGAAATAAAAAACTGAGCCAAACTGACATCTAATGTTGCTATGCAGAAATATATTATGTTACATAGACACTTCCAAACTTGTCTCTCATTTATGCAATAGAAAGCTATAATCTATAAATATGGTTTTCTAAGTAAATGAAATACAAAGTAATTTTTAATGTGAGTTCTTTGACATAGCTTTGTTCTGCATTTCTTGCAGAAATTCATGTATCGTAATAATGAAACTTGGGCTTTAACTTCCTGTTGTTTTACAATCCAAAGATATGTTAACATCTTCTATTATCTTATTTCTTTGCTGTAAAATACTGCTACTTGATGGTGGTTGGTTTGTTTCCTTCTAAACATTTTGAAGAAAAATGACCTCCATTACAGATTATGTTGATACAGTTACCCAAACTTATACCTATCATGTAAGCAAGGCTCACTGTTAACTGATTGTCAGCCTGTCTCAGTTGGTAGTACTCTCGCCTGAATCAGAACGTTGTGGGTTCAAGCACTGCAGTGGGACTTTGAACTCGCACTGTTCAGGCTGGCACTTCTGCAGTGCTGAGAATGTGCTGCATTGTTGATGGTGTTGTCCTTTGAATGCACCAAGGTCTTGTCTTCGTATTCAGGTGGATGTTAAAGATCCCATTGCACAATTTGAAAAGAGAAGGGGGTTTCTCCCAGTGTTCTGCCCAACAATTCCCCTAATAAAACTGATCACTCACTCCATTGCTGTTTGTGGGACATTGCTACGCATAAATTGGCTGCCGCGCTGGCCTCCTGAATAAATAGTCACTGCACTTTACAGTTTTTGCAATGAAGCGCTTTGAGACATCCTCCTGATGTGAAAGGTACTCTATCAAATGAATCGATTATTGCTTCTATCCTTTCTTATTTAATACATATTGTATTTTCAGTATTTCAGAATATATGGACCACATACTCGCCGTGGCAGACACACACAGGAGTTTAATCTAGATACTCAAACTGTAATTTTCTCTCTGGTGCTGTAAAAAAAAGTCTAAGGAAACTCAATGCTTAATGTCTTAATTATCTCTACAGGACTTTACGCACTCATTGCACCAATTCAGCGTTATACAAGATCTCAGTTTAACAAATTGTGTTTCTTTCACATGCCCTGTGCTCTGCAAGCTTCACATGTCTAGTTAATGAGTTGATGTGAGATAAGCAACTGTGGAAAACAGCTTCTCTTTGGTACTTGCATTTGTCCCATGATACAATCAACAAAATAAAATACCCTGCTTTTTCTCCCCCTATAAATATTTAAACAATAGCAACAGATCCACCCTCAGAAGTAGCAATTTAGTGTGGGATGTTTATAAGCTGAATTCTTCACTGGAGGGTAAAAAACAGTTATAAATCTTGCAATCAACAATGGTTGGATGGGTCAGTGGGTTTGGAGTAGCTGAGCTTTTCAGACCAATAGGATTTCAGATTTTATCCTATCTGCCTTATCTTATCTCTGCAGGCACATTAAGAAACATTTTTGCTAATATTTATCTTATCTGTTTCTTTGTTAATAGTCTCTGTTGTTGTTAGTTTGTACCAGAACAACATTAAGAATTTGTCTTCAGTAAATAGAGTGTACAGGACTATGTCTGGGGAGTAATTATTTTTGACATCAGCATTATATGGTGCATTTTGCGGTCAATAAGGTGAGGGATGTCAGTGCTGAGAAATGAACATTTTTCCATTCTATAACAACTAGTGTCACTATCAGTCATTCCTGGGTCATATATAGAACATGTTAGGTGCCAACTAATGCTGCCTCAACTCTTTCTCAACAGTGTGCCTTAACCTAATTCTCAGAAAAAAAACTTCACTCACTAGTGAAATATTTTCATTCCTTACAAGTGCTGATGGTAAATGGTCTTTTGATTGA